AATGGGAAGTGAAAGAGGGGTATACGACGTGGGAAATAGAAGATAAGTAAATAAGGAAAAAGGGAAGAAAGAAGAATGTATATCGGGGAGGAGAAAGGAGACGGAGGGAAAGAGGACGACGAATAGAGAATAAGGAAGGAAGGAGAGGAAGGAGAGAATAGCTTAAGAGAGGGGGTGGAGGGAAAGAGGGTAAGGGAACAGGTAAGTGAAAAGAGAGGGAAAGCGAAGAGATGTATAAAAGAAGGGGGGAGGTGGGAGATAGGCGATAAAGATAAGCGGGCAAGAAGGAAACGAAGAGAAATTAAGAGAGAGAGAGAGAAGATGAAACTGACTAAAAGATGAGGACAAGAAGAAGGGAGAGAGGCATGGGAAAAAGAAAACGGAAAGAAAGACAACAGACATACAAGAAAGACGGAATGAGGGAGAGAGAGGGAGGGATAAGAAACAGAAGCAATAACGGGGGAAGATAACTGAACGGAAAAAAAGGAGAAAGGAGGATTCGATATCAGGTTTTGGGGGATAAGAGGATGAGGGGGAAGGGGGGGGGAGGGGAGAGGGGGGAGGAGAGGCAATGATAAGTTTTTCTCGAGGAGACGGAGAAGGAAGGCGAGGAGAGTAGGCCAGCGTGGGTACGAAAGATATATGTAGGTTTTGTGGGGGGGTTTGTGTGTGTGTGATTGTTGTATGTGTGTGTTGCACTGTGTGTGTGTGGTGATTGTGTGTGTGTGTGTGTAAATTGTATGTAAGGTATATTTATTAATCTATAACTATCTATAAAATAGCCCACAACACACCGCTATAAAAAACCACACACCCACATCTATCCACTACACCACATTTCACCCCAAACACCTAACCCCCCCCCCTTCCCCGCCCCTCTCCCTCCGCCCACACCCCTCCACGCCCGCCCCACCCCCCTCTCGCCCACACCCCCCTCGCCCACACCGTCCGAGTCTCTCTCACCGCGGAGCAATAACATCTAACGAGCCATAGTTCCCTCCCTTCGCCTGGTGTTAGTGCTGCACAGCTAACGTCACCCTTAGAGATGAGCGAGAAGGTTGCGTTGCTTAAGTGGGAAATAAGAGGAGAGAGAGTGAGGAGGAGGGGGATGGGAGGAGAAGAGATGAGGAGGAAAAAGAGGAGGGAGGGAGGGAGGGAGATAGGAGGGAGAAAAAGAGGAGGGAGGGAGCGGGGAGGGAGAAAAGAGGGAGGAGGGAGTTATGGAGGTGAGGGAGGGAGGCTGAAGAGGACCTGGTACGAAAGAAAAGGTGTGTGGGAGTGGGGGTATGGGTGGGGGCCCCGGAGAGGGTGAGTGTTGTGGGTTAAAGGGATTTATTGTTTTTTTTTCTCGTTTCCTTATTTCTTCTTTTCGTCTTCTTTTCCTTCTTTCGTATTAAGCGAAGTTAGGGATTCATTGCTTAGACACGCACACACACACACACACACACACACACACACACACACAACACACACACACACACACACACACACACACACACACACCACACACACACACACATATATATATATATATATATATATATATATATATATATGTGTGTGTGTGTGTGTGTGTGTGTGTGTGTGTGTGTGTGTGCAGAGTATGAGAGAGAAAGAAAGAAAAAAAGAAAAAGGGAAATGATGAGAATTATTTCCCCTCGACCCCTCCCCCCCCCTGCAAAAAATGATGACGAAAAAAATTGTGGACAGAATGAAAAATATATTTGATTATCTTGTCTTCAAATCTATCAATTCACTTTTTTTATCTTAAGAAAGAACTCCACCATTATACCTTTCTCCCCTCTTTCTATCTCCCCTTTATCACTTCTCCCCTTTCCCTACCCTCTCTCCCCTCACCTCTCGCCACCCCATTACTCCCCTCTCCTCTCCCCACACCCTCTCCCCCCTCACCTCTCCCCTCCCCCCTATCTCCCCTCACCTCTCCCCTTCCCCCTCTCTCCCCTCCACCTCATCCTCTCCCCCCTCTCTCCCATCCCCTTTCCCTTCTCCCTTCTCTCCCCTCACCTCTCCCCTCCCTCCTCTCTCCCCTCCCCCTTCCCCCTCTCTCCCCTCCCCTCCCCCTTCCCCTCTCTCCCTTCTCCTCTCCCCTTCCCCCTCTCCTCCCCTAACCTCTCCCCTTCCCCCTCTCTCCCCTCCTCCTTCCCATCCCCCTCTCTCCCCTCACCTCTCCCCTTCCCCCTCTCTCCCCTCCCCCTTCCTCTTCCCCCTCTCTCCCCTCCCCCTTCCTCTTCCCCTCTCTCCCCTCACCTCTCCCCTTCCCCCTCTTTCCCCTCCCCCTTCCCCCTCTCCCCCCTCTCCTCTCCCCACCCAGCCTCCGAATCACTGTACTACAAAACACAGACCAAGATTCGAGGGGAGATGAGAATGACAAATGGAAAGCATCCGTCAGGTGTTTAAGGGGGGGGAGGGGAGCTGAGGGGAGACGGGGAAGGAGGGAATGGGGGCGAGGGGAGAGGGTGAGAGGGTGAGAGGGGAAAGATGCGAATGGGGGAGAGAGGAGGAGGGAATGGAGGGAAGGGGGGAGGGTGAGAGGGGAATGGGGGAGAGAGAGGAGGAGGGAATGGGGGCAAGGGGAGAGGGGAAAGAAGCGAATGGGGGAGAGAGAGGAGGAGGGAATGGGGGCAAGGAGAGAGGGGAAAGAGGCGAATGAGGGAGAGAAAGGGGAGGAGTAAGATGGAAGATGGGAAGAAGGGAGAAGCATGTTAGAGAATGGGGCGAGGAAAAGGAGGGGGATGGAGGAGAGAAGAGGAGGAGGAAGATGGGGATGAGGCGAGGGGAAAGAGCAAAGAGGCTGGTGGGGGGAGAGGGGAGGAAGAAGACGAGGATTGGGGAGAAGGGAAAGAGGAGAGAGGGGAGATGGTTGGAGGTATGGGAAGAAGCAAGAAAAAGGGAGAGAGATAAGGAAAGGGGAGGAGTGGGTATAAGAGGGAAGAAAAGAGACGTAAAGGGGAGTGAAAGGCAGGAAAAGAGGGGAGGAGGGAGGGAGATGGGTAAAGAGTGGGTAAGGAAGGGAGAGAGAAGAGAGGAAAAAGGAGGGAAAGGGTAGACATGAAATGCGTAAATAAAGGAGAATGGGGAGAGGAGAGGGAAGCGAAGAGAAGAGAGAAAAGGGGATGGGAAGAGAGAGGAGCGAAGAGGAGGAGAGAGGAGGAGAGAAAGGGAAGAGAAGAGTAGAGGGCAACGAAGATAAAGAAGAGAGGGCAAGAGAGAGAAAGAGGAGGGGAGGGAAGGAGGAGGGGAGAGAAAGGCTAGAGAGGAGGGGAGGGGAGGGAAGGAGGAGGGGAGAGAAAGGCTAGAGAGGAGGGGAGGGGAGGGGGGGTGGGGGGAGGGGAAGGCAAGGGCAGCGAGTGGATGTGTCAATGAGCGAATTTTATGAACGGTGTGTGCACTAGAGCGTGGCTGTTATGTCTGTTTTGATTTCTCTTGATGTTGCTTGTGTGTGTATCTGTTTGTCTGAATGTCTGTCTGTCTGTTTGTATTTCTTTCTGTCTGTTTGTACGTGTGTATGTACTGTATGTATTTATGTATGTATAGTTTTATTTCAGTCCTTCCTTCTGTTTGTCTATCTGCTTTTCTTTCTGTATGTCGGCTTGTCTCCCTCTATCTCTCTTTCTTTCTCTATCTTTCTTTCTCTCCCTCCCTCCCTCCCTCCCTCCCTCCCTCCTTTCTTCCCTCCGTCGCTCCCTTACTCCCTCCCTTCCTCTCTCCTTCCCTCCCTCACTCCCTCCCTTCCTCCCTTTCCTCCCTCTTTCCCCCCCTCCCTTCCTCCCTCCCTTCCTCTCTCCTTCCATCCCTCTTTCCTTCCCTCCCTTCCTCCCTCCTTCTCCCCTCTTTCCGTCCCTCCCTTCCTCTCTCCTTCCCTCCCTCTTTCCCTTCCTCCTTCCCTCCCTCCTCTTTCCTTCCCTCCCTTCCTCTCTCCTTCCCTCCTTCTCTCCTGTGTGCCATATGGACGACACTCCCCCTCCCCCCCTAAGGACTTACCCTTGATTTAAGCTGATCTAACTAAGCTTAACTCGTGCTGCAGTTACACCCTAAATTCTCCAACTCTTTCTCTTCTTATTTACTGTTATTTCCTCTCTTACCCTCTTCTATCTCCTCCTGTTTCTCTTGTCTTCCTCTTCTTCTTCTTCTTCTATCTTCTTCCTCCATTTCTTCCTTTTGTCTTTTCTTTTTCTTCTATCTTCCATCTCTTTTTTTTTTCTTCTTTTCTTCTTTTCCTCTCTTCTTGTTATCTTCCTTTTACTCCTCTTCTTCATCTTTCATACTTACTTCTCTTCCAACTTTTTCCTTCGTATTCTTCTTTCCTCCTCCTCTTCCTCCTCTTCTTCATTCCTCCTTTCTTCATTCTTCCTTCTCCTGCTCCTCCTTTTTCCCCTTTCTTTTCTCTTGTTCTTTTCCGCTTCCTTTATCCTTCCCTTTCCTCTCTTCCATCTTCTCTCTCCCCCTTCACTTTATTTTTCAGAGAGAGAGTGGGTGAGAGAAAGAAAGAGAGAGAGAGGGGGGGGGAGAGAAAGAGAAAGAGAAAGAGAGAGAGAGGGTAGAGAGAGAGGAGGAGAGAGAGAGAGAGAGAGAGAGAGAGAGAGAGAGAGAGAGAGAGAGAGAGAGAGAGAGAGAGAGAAGAGAGAGAGAGAGAGAGTGAGACCGAGAGTGAGAGAGAGAGATAGAGAGAGAGAGGACGGAGAGACGAGAGAGAGAGAGAGAGAGAGAGAAGAGAGAGAGAGAGAGAGAGAGAGAGAGAGCGAGAGAGAAAGAGAGAGATAAAGAGAAGGAGAGACAGACAGACAGACATATCGAGAAAGATCGAGAAAATCGTGCACGTTATTTTGTTGTTGTCATTTTTTCTCTTTATCACGACCCTTCGCCATAATACCAAACGTTTTATTATTCATGTGACAGAGCTAACAATAACAGTCATCACAAATTTATTCCAACAGTCAACAGGAAATCAAAATATCTATATTTATGATGAAACCATAAAGATGATCCTTAAAGAACCGTTAAAGAACACAATACCAAGAATTCTAAATAGACAAGGCCATTATATCCAACCCCATCACCATACCAGCCCCTACATCACCATACCAACGTCAGCTTCACTATACCAATCCCAGACGTCACTATACCATCCCAGACGTCACTATACCATCTCCAACATCATCATACCACCATCTACGTCACCATACCATCATCTAAGTCACCATACTAATTGCAACATTACCATACCAACCCCCAACGACCACCAAACAGCCATCACCATACCAAACCGCAGCCGTGATTTGCCAATGACACCATACGACACTATAACAAGGGGGCTGGCCTGTCCCACACGCACAGCAGACCGCGGCAGTGTAGGTGACAGCCATGGAGTGATATTAATGTATCCTGTACGCTGTCTGTGTGTCCCTCTCGTCTCTCGCAGGCCGTGTTGTCCCTGGGGGTCGTCGTGTTACAGGTCGTCGTTTTGTAGGGTTGAAGCATTTGCAGGTCGTAGGAATGCAGGTTGCAGTCTTAAAGGTCGTCTTGATTGTATTCCTTTTTCTCTCTCTCTTTCTCTCTTTCGTTGTAGAAAAGAGGAAGAGAGAGAAGTGGGAGTGTAGGATGTTGTATTGCAGGGTCGTATTACAGTTCATAGAACGTCGATTCGTGTTATATCAGGTCGTATCATGACATGTCGTAAGTTTCAAAAGGGATTGATCAAAGATAGTGTCCTCATCTTTCTCTCTCTCTCTCAATCTATCTATCTATCTATCTATCTATCGGTCTATCTATCTATCTTCTCTCAAAATCTCTCTCCTCTCGACATTCTCTCTCTCTCTCTCTCTCTCCTCGCTCTCTTCTCTCTCTCTCCCTCTCTCTCGTCTCTCTCTCTCTCTCTCTCTCTCTCTTCATCTCTCTCTCTCTCTCCTCTCTCTCTCTCTCTTTCTCTTCTCTCTTCCATCTTTCTCTCGCATCTCTCTCTCCAACCCCCTCCCCCCCTTCCCTCTTTCCTCCCCTCCCTCCTCTCATCCCCCCCCATCTTCCTCTCTCTATCCCCCTACCCTCTCTACCCCCCACTCCCCTTTGACCACCCGCGTCAGTAGGGTGATTGTCACAAGTACACTACTTATTGCGACGTAAGAGTGGGGGGGGGGGAAGAAGGTGAAACGGGAGGGGGAGAAGAGTGAATAGGGGGGGGTGTGTCAGGTTGGATGAGATTGAAAGGGGTGAATCAGGTGGGAAGGGGATGGATGGGGAAACGGGAAGGGAGGAAAGGGGATAAGGGTGAAACGAAGGGGACAAAAAGGGTGAATGGGTGGTGGAGGGGGTGAGGGGTGAGGGCGGGAGGAGGAGGTAACTGAAGGAAAAGGAGAGGAAAAGGTGACAACGGGAGGGGGGGTGGGCGGGGGGGAAGAGAAAGGGAGAGGTGTGAGGGAGATGGGAAACAAAAGATTTGAGAGGCAGTAACCGGAGAATAAACGGACAAGGGGAATGAAAAGTGAGGGGAGGGGGAGGGCTCAGAGGGAAGAGAGAGAGAGAGGGAGAAAGAGAAGACAGTGGAAAGGCTGCGAGAGAGAGAGGGAGAAAGAGAAGAGTGAAGGAGGAGGGAGAGAGAGGGAGAAAGAGAAGAGTGAAGGAGGAGAGAGAGAGAGGGAGAAAGAGAAGAGTAAAGGAAGAGAGAGAAAGAGGGAGAAAGAGAAGAGTGAAGGAGGAGAGAGAATTGGTGAATAGGGAGAGGGGATAAGGAACAGGGTGAAGGGGAGGGGTGAAAGAGAGAGGGGAAAGAGAAGGCCGAGAATGAGGGGAAAAGGAGAGAGATAAGAAGGTAGTAGAGCATATTATAAGTAAGATAGAATTAGTGGATATAATTTAATAAAGTGAAGGAAACAGATGATTATATGAAATAACCCCGTGCGTAACTAAAAAGCCAAATTCTACAATAGATTTCCTCTCTCTCTCTCTCTCTCTCTCTCTCGCGTCGTCTCTCTCCTCTCTCTTCTCTCTCCTCTTTCTCCTCTCTCTCTCTCTCTCTCTCTCTCCCTCTCTCTCTCTCTCAAATTTCTCTTCTTTATCACCTATTTCTATTGCACCTCTTCGCTCATCGATCTCTTTCTCCATTCTCCCAATTCTTCGTTCTTTTCTCGTTCTCCCTTTCACACCTGTCTCTTTTTTCTCTATTTCCTTTCTCTCTCTCTCTCTCTCCCGTTCTCATCTCTCTCTTCCTATCTCCTTTCTTCCTGTATCTCAATTCACTCTCTCTCTCTATTTCATTTCATTATCTTTCTCCTTCTACCCCCCTGGTGCAGAAAGTTGCAGCTGCAATAGGGTCCTATGTGGCTACGTTGCAAGAGGCAGAACTCGCACTAGACTATGGCCCAGTGATCTTGCAACATCCTGCAACGGGTATCCTTTTCGTGTTTGGGCCTCTGGGGACTATTGTTTGTTTGCTTGTCGTTGTTTTGTTTTCGTTTGTCCTTCGTTCTGCTGTTTGGGCTTCTTGAT